AAAGGGGCCCCCGGGAAACCCTTCTCCGATGCCCCTTCCCTGGGGGCCGGGCATGGCTAAAAAATTGAAAGGGCCTATGTAAGGTCCCTGTACCCCCTCCGGGAAGAACAAGCCATCAAAAAAAAAGGGGGGGGTCTGCTGCGACCCTTACCGATTTCCTGAAACGACCTTTCCATGCAGGGGCAAAACGATCTCGTTTAGACTTTATAGTCGAGCTTCCGCCATCACTAAGACCCACGACGGCAAAACCTGGTGGTCAGTGGACCGTCTTGTCCAAGGATGGCCCACTATCTTCATCCGGTAAAGAAAACCCCCTCGGCACAGCCGAGACTGCGCGCGAGTCTTCATTCGTGAGGTAGTAAGGCTGCATGGGGTCCCCGAAGACATTTGTTCTCGGACCGGGGGGGTCCAGTTCACGTCAAGTACATTTGCGAGAGCACTGTGCAAAGCCCTGGAACATCAAATTGTCCCCTCTCCTCTGCATTCCAACCCTCAACACTAACGGTCAAACCGAAAGACCAATCAGGAATTTTAGTACTTTCAGCATACGACACATAAGCATGCAACACTTCCTTGTACTCAAGAAAAGAAACCCAATCAGACCCTGGGGGGTGAAGCAATACCTTAAGATGCTTACACTTCCTTTACTCACGTGATGAACTGGATGCCACTGTCTCCCCCTAGCGGATTTGTCTCGAATGATGCCCAGTACCTTCAGCAACGCAAGATGTGGTTAAAGTTTTTCTTCCGCCTGCGAACAATAAGATGCTTCAAGAGGGCCATCAGTCGGGCCCAGGAAGAACTACAGGAAAGGCATCATACAGGAAACGGAGGGGAGATCTGGTGTTGCGGCTCTGGGAGAAGGTTTGGCTAGCGACACTCCAATTTAAAGTAGATGCTTTTGCCCCGTCGAAAAAATTGGGACCCAAATTTATAGAGCCCCTTCTGCATTAAACAGATGGTCAAACGAAGTGGCCTACGAACTCATTCCTTCCTGACACACTCCTCAAGATACCACCCAGTCTTCCATGTGTCCCTGCTGAAGCACAGTAATCCCAGATGCCTTCCCTGACCGAAAATTCTAGACCCCACGGAAGCCATAACGGTCGAGGGAGAAGAAGAATTTGAGGTGGAATCAATCCTGAAGTGCCGAAGGAGGGGGGCCAGACCCAATTCCTAATCAAATGGAAGGGCTATATGGCCCTGAGGACAATTCTTGGGAACCAGTCCCATAATGTCCATGCACCTAGACTTGTCGGTTCTTTCGCGATCACCCGTGGTGGTGGAGAGATCGGGTGGGCATCCCGGAGGTTGCCCGTATCAAGGGGGGGGCAATGTCAGGGATCCCCTCGATCCCCGCCCGCGATGGTCCCCGGCGCAGGCGCAGTGTGCCGCCCTGTCAGGGCTCCAGGGTATGACCAGAGGTATGTGAACTGACACAACGCAGATTCCAGATATGATATAAACAATATAATTTATTAACACTAACAATACATAAACGCAGTGCAATACTAAAACATAACACAGTGCAAAACAAACCAAACCACCCACAGATAACAGTACATACAATGCAAGCGTCGTCAGGCAGGCCGGGTCAATAACAAACGGTGCAGGTAGGAACAGGAGGAGTAGGCAGAGAGTAGTCAGGTCACGAGCCGGGTACAGCAACTAACAGGCAGGTAGGTACAGGGGGTCAGGCAGAGAATGGTCGGGGTCACAAGCCAGGGATCAGAACAGGAGAAGTCAGCAGAGGTCAGGATCAAACAGGGTCAGCAACAAGACAGGAACAGGAATGCAGGAACAAGATACAGGGCCCAGGAAAAAAACACACACCAAGGCAGAGTCTGCAGGTCTGGCCATCCCTTAAAATACACCAATATAAGCAGCTTCAGGTGTTTGGCTGGCTGCAAGGTTGAGTCTCTGATTGCTGGGAGCACCCGCTGGCCAGCCCTGGTACTGCAGCCCATAAGGCAGCTGAGTCCCACCATTGCTGGCCAGTCCATTCCTGACAGTACCCCCCCCCCCCCCAAGGAGCGGGCTCAGGACGCTCCAAACAGTCCTAGCTGGGCAAAAAAATGTTCCACCTCCCGGGTCTGGTAACTGGCGGGATATCAAAGACTGGCACACCGGGCAGGACTCCGGGCAGCGGCACACCGGGCAGGACTCCGGGCAGCGGCCCATCGGGCTGCGGCACACCGGGCAGAGGCACACGGGGCAGAGGCACACCGGGCTGGACTCCGGGCAGAGGCACACCGGGCTGGACTCCGGGCAGAGGCACACCGGGCTGGACTCCGGGCAGAGGCACACCGGGCTGGACTCCGGGCAGAGGCACACCGGGCTGGACTCCGGGCAGAGGCACACCGGGCCATGGACTCCGGGCAGAGGCACATCGGGCTGGACTCCGGGCAGAGGCACATCGGGCCACCAGGCGGAGCAGCAGGCAGCGGGGCCACCAGGCGGAGCAGCAGGCACCGGGCCCCCAGGCGAGGCGACAGGCACCGGGCCCCCAGGCGGAACGACAGGCACCGGGCCCCCAGGCGGGGCGACAGGCACCGGGCCCCCAGGCGGGGAGACAGGCACCGGGCCCCCAGGCGGGGCGACATGCATCGGGCCCCCAGGCGGGGCGACAGGCATCGGGCCCCCAGGCGGGGCGACAGGCACCGGTCCCCCAGGCTGTGCGACAGGCATCGGGCCCCCAGGTGGAGCGACAGGCATCGGGCCCCCAGGCGGAGCGGCAGGCGCCGGACCCCCAGGCGGAGCGGCAGGCGCCGGACCCCCAGGCGGAGCGACAGGTCTCGGGCCCCCAGGCGGAGGCGGCGGGCGCCGGACCCCCAGGCGGAGCGACAGCTCTCGGGCCCCCAGGCGGAGCGGCGGGCGCCGGACCCCCAGGCGGAGCGACAGGCACCGAGTCACCAGGCACAACAGTGGGCTCCGAGTCAACTGGCATGACCGCTGGCACTGGGTCAGACATTGGATCGTCTGGCTGGACAGCGGGCATCGGGTCACCAGGCATCAGGTCATTTGGCTCGACAGCGGGCACCGCGTCATCTGGCAAGGCAGTGGGCTCCGAGTCAACTGGCATGACTGCGGGCACTGGGTCAGACATTGGATCGTCTGGCTGGACAGCGGGCATTGGGTCACCAGGCATCAGGTCATTTGGCTCAACAGCGGGCACTGCGTCATCTGGCAAGGCAGTGGGCACCAAGTCACCAGGCACGACAGTGGGCTCTGAGTCAATTGGCACGACAGCGGGCACCGGGTCATCAGGTACCGGATTGTCTGGCTCGACAGCGGGCATCGGGTCACCAGGTATGACAGCGGGCACTGGGTCACCAGGCATCAGGTCATTTGGCTCGCCAGCTGGCACCGCGTCATCTGGCAAGGCAGTGGACACCGAGTCACCAGGCACGACAGCGGGCTCTGAGTCAATTGGCACGACAGCGGGCACCGGATCAGGTACCGGATCGTCTGGATCAACAGCGGGCATCGAGTCAACTGGCCTAATAGGATCATCAGGCTGGATCAGTTCATCAGGCTGGGTAGAAACATCATGCTGGGTAGAAACATCATGCTGGGTAGAGGCATCAGGCTGAATGGAGGCATCAGGCTGAGTAGAGGCATCAGGCTGAGTAGAGGCATCAGGCTGAGTAGAGGCATCAGGCTGAGTAGAGGCATCAGGCTGAAGAGAGGCATCAGGCTGAAGAGAGGCATCAGGCTGAAGAGAGGCATCAGGCTGAAGAGAGGCATCAGGCTGAGTACAGGCATCAGGCTGGGTACAGACCTCAGGCTGAACCACAGAAGGTTCTCAGACGGCAGGCTCACCGGTTTGGATACTGGCAGGATGGTATTGGTTGGAAAGAATTTTCGCTTTTTTCTCGTTTTAACTACTGGAGCACTGCAAGTAAACGCAGGTCTGCAAACGAATGGAGCAGCTGGAGACAGAGAAGAGCTGGAGGATGGAACAGGGGAGGGAACAGTTGCTACAGAGGGCTTTTTTACAGGGTTAAAGGCAGGATAGGTGCAGCGAGTGGGAACAGGGTACTGACATGCGGTAGATAGCAGGGCAGGAGGAGCTGTTGGGAATGCAGGAATAGAGCTTTGAGGAAATAGATTAGAAGCAGGACTGGGTTTTTGTAAGCTGACTGAGGCTGGGTACAACAAATCTGTCCATGTCTGCAGTATGGGTTGAACAAAGCTGAGCTTACACAAAGCCTGTCTGACCAAAGACTGCACTGCGTTTATACAATCCCTTAATACCTGTGGTGAACATGCAGAATAACGCTCCAGAAAGTAATCCACATCATCCTCTAATAACCATACCAGGGACTCTACCTGGTCGGCACTAAATGGCGGCAAAAATTCATCCCTGCATTCGGGGGTACCAGATGAAACCAACTCCGCACAAACCTGAATCAATGGCTGCACCTCAGAGAATTCTGTGCCCTGATCTACTAGAACATGAGTGAGCCGTATACATTCTAGCAGTTCATCCCTGGGATACTCCTTCAGAGTCTGATAAGCATATTCTCTGTCATCAAACACTAGCAGATATAAATACACAACCTCATCAAGATCCATCCTTCCCATCAACAAACCAAGATGGCTTCCCTGTGCAGCCACTTCTGGTCAGGATTGGCCTTGGTGTAATGTCAGGGCTCCAGGGTATGACCAGAGGTATGTGAACCGACACAGGGAAACACAGATTCCAGATATGATATAAACAATATAATTTATTAACACTAACAATACATAAACGCAGTGCAATACTAAAACATAACACAGTGCAAACAAACCAAACCAAACCACCCACAGATAACAGTACATACAATGCAAGCGTCGTCAGGCAGGCCGGGTCAATAACAAACGGGCAGGTAGGAACAGGAGGAGTAGGCAGAGAGTAGTCAGGTCACGAGCCGGGTACAGCAACTAACAGGCAGGTAGGTACAGGGGGTCAGGCAGAGAATGGTCGGGGTCACAAGCCAGGGATCAGAACAGGAGAAGTCAGCAGAGGTCAGGATCAAACAGGGTCAGCAACAAGACAGGAACAGGAATGCAGGAACAAGATACAGGGCCCAGGAAAAACACACACCAAGGCAGAGTCTGCAGGTCTGGCCATCCCTTAAATACACCAGTATAAGCAGTTTCAGGTGTTTGGCTGGCTGCAAGGTTGAGTCTCTGATTGCTGGGAGCACCCGCTGGCCAGCCCTGGTACTGCAGCCCATAAGGCAGCTGAGTCCCACCATTGCTGGCCAGTCCATTCCTGACACGCCCTGTGCAGAGACTCGAGCATTAGGTCCGGGCCGGCCGCGGCGGTCGAGTTCGCGCATGCGCAGTAGAAGCCGCGGCCGCCAGCTGGGCACCAATGGCAGCGCAGGGTGGGATATTTAAATGGCCCTGAGCTGTCATTCAGTGCCTTCTGGTCTTACCTGTATCCTGTATCTGCGAACCTGTGAATTGTAAGTTGCTGACCCGGATTGTGCTTTGACCTTGCTGTATTTCTCCTGCCCTGACCCTTGCTTTGCCTGATCTCTCTCCTGGATGCCCCCTACTGGATTTGACCTGCTGTTGCTTGACTGACCTGGCGTGTGACCCGACCATTCTATGCCCGCTGCCTTGTACCTTGCCGTCCTCTCTGTTACCGAACCGGCCCGTCTGACCTTGCTCATCCATCCATCCCTTGCAGTGGGGTCTGCTGACCTCCTCATATCAGACTCTTTCCCGTGTGGGAGCCCTTGGCGCATACCACTACCACTGACGGATGCACCCAGTAGCCACGACCTGGTCTCAGGGGGCTCCAAGTCCATCCCCACCATCAGGGGCCCTGGTGAACAAGCACCCCGAGACTTAGACTCCGTGCGCTGGGGACGCCTATTCAGTGGAGAGCTAGTGGTACCGCCAGGCGGTCCCTTACAGTCGCGGTCCTTTTTTCCGAGATGGTAACGTGCCGGCGGGCTTTTGAGGTTGAGACTGGTAGATGTTTGGTCCTGGATGTCCCCCATGGATGAGGGGGCAGGAGCTGCGCCTGATTAACTTCTATGGGCCGCAGTCCAAGTGGGATAGGAAGTGCCTTTTCACAAGGATCAAACCTTTTCTTTTTACATCCCGACAGGTGGTCTTTGGAGGTGACTTCAACACCATAACTAGGCCCAAGGACAGGAGGGGCTTCACTGACCACCTGGGGTATGATAGCGTTTTTCTTAATTCTATAGTCAGGGAAGCAGGTCTGGTAGATGCTTTGATTAAAAGCAATCCGGACAGCACTGGGTACACGTATAGGAGAGGTAGCAGCCAGAGTAGAATAGATAGGTTTTTTTTTTAAGGATGACTCTGCCTTCTCAGCACCTGAGTGTCGGGCGGTGGAGTTCTCCGATCACTTTATGCTTACTGTGGTTTTGAATGTTTCAGACACGCCCCAGAGAGGAAGGGGCATCTGGAGGCTCAATTCGTCTCTGCTGGAGGACAAGGAGGTGAGACAATCTTTCGAGGTGTTCTTTCAGGCTCAGGAGACGGTGCTGGATTTCTGCAACAGTAAGTCAGAGTGGTGGGAGCTTACTAAGGTGCGGATCAGCAGGTTTTTCAGGGCCATAGGTAAGAAAAAGCAGTGTGATAAATATATCGCCTACCAACGGTTACGGAGGAAGCTCGATCGCCTTGTTTCTAGCGGTGGAGATTCTGGGGCAATCTCCGAGGTCAAACTTCTCCTCAGTAAATACCAGTACGATCAGCGTGCCTCTTTGGTTCTGGAAAGGGATTATGGGAAGTACCACTCGCCCGACCCTTTTCAGAATTACAAACAGGGTGCAGCGATTAGGACAGTCTCTGCCTTGAGGGATAGTACTGGGTCCCTGACAAGATCCAGGTCAGGGATTCTGGAGGTCTCTAGGGATTTTTACAAGGACTTACTTAGTGAGAAGTGCCTTAACCGGGCAAGGATGTTGAGCTTCTTGGAATCTACACCAGGTTTGGAGAGTAATGTTCTGCCTACAAGTTTGACAGGAGAAATTACCGCAGAGGAGGTGACTAAGGCCATTGATAGTCTGACCATTAAGAAAACTCCTGGGCCAGACGGGTTGACAGCTGAATTTTTTAAGACCTTCAAATCTAGCCTGGCACCTCGCCTAGCGGAGGTGTGTATAATTGCTGTATGAGTGAGGGGTCCCTCCCTCCCTCCATTAGGCAGTCTGCAGTGATTTTGCTGGCAAAGGGTAAGGATCCTTCGGTTATTGAGAACTGGCGCCCCATTAGCCTTCTCAATGTCGATAGAAAGATTCTGGCTAAGATCTTGTTCTGGCGCTTGTCGTCAGTGGCAGAGGGTCTGCTTTCTCGTCAGCAGCATTGCTCGGTCCAGGGCAGGAGTACCTTTACAGCGGTGTTAGCTGTCCGGGAGGCTCTGGAGCGTTGTAAGGCTGAAGGATGGGGAAAGTTCTTGCTGGCAGTGGATCAGGCAAAGGCCTTTGATCGTGTCAACCATGAGTACCTCTGGTGTCTCCTTGACCGGTACGGCTTGGAAGGGAGAGGTTTATTGGCTGGTTAAAAACATTGTATAGGGAGGCTGAGAGCTTGATGTTGGTGAATGGCTGGGTTGGGCAGCCTTTTGGGGTTGGATCTGGGGTGCGCCAGGGGTGCCCTCTGAGCCCCTTGCTCTACGTCTTTGCCATTGACCCTTTCGTCAGGAGGCTAGATGGTGGAGCGTTGGGCGGGGTGCCGGGGGGTGCTGCTGGGAGTCCGCCCCTGAAGGTTGTAGCATAATGCTGATGACGTTTCTGTTTTCATCTGTGGGTCTGAGGAGGCGCAGGAGGTGGTCTCGGTGATGGAACAGTATGCCGAGGCGTCTGGCTCCAAGGTCAACCAGGACAAATGTGAAGTTCTCTGGATGGGTAGAGAGGGTGAGAGCTTCTCGCTCCCGGACACCTTCCCGGTGCCTCAGCCAAGCATAAAAATTTTGGGCATCAATTTTGGCCATGCCGATTATGGCAAGCTAAACTGGGAAGCCAAGTTGTCTGATGCAGAGGTCAAGGTCAGATGCTGGAAGGGGTGGCGGCTCTCCTTAAGGGAGAGGGTTGACCCTGATCAAGACTTTCCTGATTCCGGTATTTCTGTATGTCAGTTACATCTGTCTCTTGCCAGAATCAC